GTGTTTTATTTTATTTTATATATTATATTGTAAAAAAGAAACTAAAGATATGAGATAATAGATACAGAAACTCCAATTCTATTATTAGTGTACATTATATATCTGTCATGTTGCAGATAATTAGATACTGGTTTGATTTGCATATTTTTTACGCATAACCGAACCCAGGTAAGGATGCGTTCAATAAACTCAATCAAGGTTAAAATATTCAATAACAAAGATAAAAGTTAATAACAAATATAAATAAAAAATATCTTTTACGAAAAAGTAAACTCTAAATTGAGGTTATAAATTCTTCGATAAGTTAATATATTTCTGACTAGCTGTTGCCCGCGACCTTATCCACGCAATATTAAGATAGAAAAGTAACCTATAATATACCCGTCTATGTCAGCTACCCTTTAATGAAAGTCCTGTCGTAACCGACCCAGTTGTTTCACAGATTACCCGTAACAAAAGCGGCTTCCGGACAGACAGACAAAAAATTTATAAACGCGATTTTTATTATCTGCAACGCAAATACATCTTCCCGAAATGTGGAATTTCTCTTTTGATACAGACACTCCAATTTTATTATATGTATAGATAGATTGGCCATTCACAATAATTACTATGGTAATAATTGACCTCAGATATACTTCGAACTAAATTATATTTTAAGAAACAACGTAACTAAAAAAAGAAATATTTCGACAGACATATTAATATGTTTGTAGAAGCTGTGAGAATATTTTAAGAGTATAATCAAATATTTGCGGAATAAAATTCTAAGGTCGCTTAAGGAGTTGCCTTTTACGAACCCGCACTGCGCTTCTTTAGGTTAAAAACTGTTTGCCGACGGACAACGAATTATCCAACCTAATAAAGGTAAATATACCTTTGACGCTTACAAATTAAAGCAGATACAGTACAAAGAGGGTCGATGGTTCAGTGGTTTAAGCACTTGACTTGTAATCTACAGGTTTTGGGTTCGAATCCCGTCATGTACTAATCTGATATTCGATTTTTCGAATTTTCATACGTACATAATTTAACCGACGTTCTTACGGTGAAGGAAAACATCGTGATGTCTGCACATATCGGCGAAGAAATTCAAAGATATGTGTGAAGTCAACCAACCCGCACTTGGCCAGCGTGGTTGACTATGGCCTAGTCACCCCTTATTAGGAGGCTCCGAGCCTCTCGGTGGGGGCATATAGTGAGCTGGTGATGATTGTAATGATGAGTATAAAAACAAAGTCTAAAAATTCTATTAAAAATCGACAATCGGGCAATTATATTTGAATTTCTCGGAAGACCATAACAAAGTCATGTTAGTTATTATCTGATCAATGACTTAAGAATTAAGACCTTGTGCACACCTTTAACTATACTATCGCACAACTGTTTAGTCTTGCTTTGATTCCTATAAACTTAAATGGAGGTTACACTACTCGATTTTTATTTACAACAGTTCAACGGTTAAATAAGCGAAACAATGGACAAACGCACAACAGTTGAGGAGAATAAATTATGTCCTGAAGATCGTCATTTGACTAAAATCCCATTTAGAGAAGCTTAGGTCTAACTTATTGATGGAGAGTCCAAGTTTAACTTTAAAGGAAAGGAAAATAAATCCTTTGTATTCGAAAGCCAATATAAGCTGCAATCCATTACATTGGTAATATTGTCGTTTGTGATACGTCTGGAGAAACATTGTAGAGGTTTACTTTGAAGTAAGGAAATAGACGAATAATGGCTTGTATCGGTATTAATATAATAAAGCGTAAACTCACATTACTTCATGGCGTAGGATGTCAGGAATCACAGCATAGTTTTGAATAATTATTTTTTTTAATAAAATGCCCTGCATTTACGACACGCTATAGACTTAATATTTTCACGCTATTAGGTAAACTTAGGGGGTAAATAAATTGGTAAAAACCTCACATAGGAAAGGGATTATAAACTACAGGCTGCCAACATTGAGAAAGCAAGGTTATTATGGTAACGGTAACTTTGACATTTGGAATTGAGAATTTCATCCAGATGAAGCCGCACGGGAACGGCTAGTTCAACATATTTCTGTTCATTACTACTATATATTATTCCATAATTCAGCCTTAATCATAATTCAATAATATCTTACACATAACCTCTTTTACACGATTCATCCAGACTTCAGGACCCCACAAGCTTTATAGCTATCAACATTAAATCTCATAATTTTCTTGTTTATAGACGCCTCTACGCATCATTAATCTTTGCTACAAGAACTAAGAAACGTACTGAAGGTGACTAAAAACATTCAATAAAAAACACAAACAAATATTCATTCTTATATACAAGATATGTGTTGTTGTTTTATATGATTTTTTTTAAATTAAATTTATCAGATTTACGTTTATCTAAAATGTCTTTCGTTTGATTTTATTGCGGTTTACTTTAAGAGACAATATCTGATCTCGGTACAAAGTCCGTCCTATCTCAACGGCAAATTGAATCTCAGAAACAACGTTACGATTTCTTTTTACTTTATTTCTGACTAGTCTTAAAATCAGATTTGTACCGTTGCAGAAAAATTGCTTTAAAATCGAATTATATTTCACTCGGTGAATGTTTGTCTAGTCTGATTTCCGAACTGGAATGTCAGAATTATTTGCAGTTGATTATTCTTCTGTTTTATCAATCGAAATTAATTGCATCAATGTTACACTAATTTAATACTTTTTGTGTTAATTGTTATTTTGAAATGAAGTGGCAAAGCAAAATTGCTATTACAATTCTCACAGGCGTTAACATGCAAAACATAAACACCACACAATTATAACGACACTGCAATGACAAGATAATAATGTTTACAATTGGAGGTTATAGATTATTTGGAATTTAGATATAAAGAGAAAAAAAGCTATATTATTAATTAACTCAGTACAATGAACTCGATATTCATATTGTTGTGTAAATAAATGTCTGTTTTCTCCGGCAGTATCACGAGTAAGTTTGACTTTGATAGACGTCAAAATGGCGTCTAAAGTTGCTGTTGTAACAGGTGCTAACAAAGGCTTAGGATTTTCCATAGTTAAAGGGCTTTGTTTAAAATTCGATGGCGTAGTATATTTAACGGCGAGAGACCAAAAAAGAGGCCTAGAAGCTGTAGAAAAGTTGAAAGCTCTAGATTTACATCCCGAATTCCATCTGCTTGACGTAAGTGATGAAAACAGTATTAAAGATTTCGCTGATTACATTAAAACAAAACACGGTGGGTTAGATGTCCTAGTAAATAATGCTGCAATACTAGAATGGAATGAAATTTACCCAACGTATGAGGCTGCAAAACGTAATATTGAGATAAATTACCAGAGTCTATTATCGATCGAAAAGTGGTTATATCCATTGCTAACAGATGGCGCCAGAGTTGTTAATGTTTCGAGCGCATGTGGGCATTTATCAAATTTAAAAAATAAAAAATGGCTTGAAACATTACAAAAAAAGGATTTAACAACAAAAGAAATCAACGAATTTGTCGAAGAATATCTTGGAAGTGTACGAAATGGAACTTTTAATAAAGATGATTTTGCGGATGAAGGTAAACATGCTGAGCATAGAGTTTCTAAAACAGCGATGTTAGCTTTAACTATGGTCCAGCAGAGAAAGTATCAAAATAAAAACATTTCTATAAATGCTGTTCACCCTGGACATGTGAAGACAGATATGGCAAATGGTGGAGGAGATTTAGAAGCAGATGAGGCAGCCCAAACAATACTCTATCTAATAATGGATGCTTCGCCAAATTTAAAAGGTGTTTTTATGTGGCATGATAAAAAAATAGTTGATTGGTATGATTATGAAGGAGATTATTACTGTAAAGATGTTTGGTAACACATAGAAGTAAATTCTTTCCTTTTTGATTTCTGTTTAAATTCATAATGCATTTGCATTTTCACTTGATTTCATAAACATGGTGCCAAAATTAATAAACATTTTTAAACTTAAACCTTTGTCTGTTTTATTTTATTTATGTAAGCTATATGAAGTTTGAAAATCGAACGGTATGATTTTTCTGTTATATTCCATGCACTTTTTATTCTTTTAAGCTATTTTTTAAACGTTTTATTATCAACCAAGAACTTCTTTTGGAGAAAAAAAGGAAAAATAGTGTGCTTCAAATTATTATAATGGTGAAACGGAACGAAACACATTTGACAATCGACAAGCAACCGATCGAATTTGACATAAAAAAATTGACAGTACGGATTGATGTATTCCGTTTGTGGGTGGTGCTTGTCTTAAGTTTTAATTTACTCGTTCGAATACGAAATAAATATTTAAATATATGTAAATTAAACAATTGTTAAATTGTATCAAGTGTAAGTCTATAAAAAATCTATTGTCCAACACACCAATTTTTAAATCTGTTAGGTAAGTTTGTCATTTATATTTATTTTACAAATTAAATTAAAGATGAAAGGAATACAACGTTACAATCATGCTACAGTTTTAAGAAACTGTGTCGCTCGGAATGAAATGTCAGTAGAAGTTATCAAAGCCATTGTGTATTTATTTATTAGTATATTAAAGTAGCGAGCCAAAATAGGCGTTCAAGTGCCTTGACCTAACAGAGAACATTGCCATTCTGTGTACGGCACTGCGCAGACCTAGTTTAAAAATTCCTGTTAGTGAAAATACGTATTTACATTCGTTTTGTGTCTACTGGTGTTTAAGACGTCGCGAATTTCGTGTGCCAATAATAGACATAGAAAACTCCGGAATGTGACATAAAGTGGTCTTCGGGAAATGACCTTCTAGTGATTCTGTGCATATAAATAATAAAATGATAAACTTATAAGAGTTTAAGATTGAAAAACTTATGTAAACAAAGAAAATCAAATGTCACTGAATAGTTTAAACACAACCTTTTCAAGGCTGCACAAAAAATGTTATCGAAATATTTGGAATTTATTTTTCTAATCAAATCTAGTAAATTAAACACAATACAAATAACAATTGTATTAACAACTTAACAAAAATTAAAAGCATAAAAGACTAATAACATTTAACACAAGATAAACTAGTTGTGGAGTTGAACTAGAGTCCCAAAACTGTGAAAGAAAATTTCTACAACAATAAAATGATACTATGACACTTATAATGGTTGTAGTACGGACAGTGCGTGTGATGGCGTCGTTTGCGGCGCAAGCAGCTCTCCGTTCACGTTGGAGTTCATTGATAGAGTCCACCAGTGTTGATGTACCGGGAGAAGTCACCGATGGTGTCCGTTCTGTCGTTGGATGGCTTAAACAGGCACTGTCTATTGTTATACTGGGTAGTTTACTCACTGCTCTATGCACTTATTTTGCATGATTTATGTAGTATAGATGTGCATTTATGTTGCATGTTCAGTGTACTGTGGGAAATATAAGCATACTTTATTGACAACTCTATAGAGATAAGTACAGTTATGGTAAATGGTCAGCTCGATAAATGTTATAAAATTACCAAACTCTAAAGCCTACGGTATTTATAATGGCCATAAATATATATTACTAGCTGATCCCATGCGGCTTCCGCATGAAATTATATAAAACTTTAGTTTATTGTTCACAATTCTAAAATTCAAATGACAAAAGCCTTCAACAATCTTGCTTCCTTAATGTTGACAGCTTGTACTATATGGTCTCTTTCCCAAATTATGGTTTTTTCTAATTATTTACCCCTAAGTTTAATAGCCTGAAAATATATAGCCTAAAATGTGTCATAAGTATAGGGCTAATTATTAAAATATGCTGTGATTGCTGACATCCTGTGTCACAAAGTAGTGTGTTTACAGTTTGTTATATTATTGTATAGATTGGTGAATAAGTGTGTACCATATTTTTGTAATAAAAGATGTAGAGAAATTATCATTACAGTTTTGTAAACACATTTATGAAACTGACTGTACTATTATCAAGTATTTGTATCTTGATCAGATTTAGCAGCATTATGAAATTTCTCTTGTGTTTGAAGGGAAAATAAAATAAAGATGGCCGCACTATTAGCCAGTATGATAAAAATAGTTCTATGTCAAATTGAAACTCAATATTATTTTAACATAGGTAAAAATATATCTCGGTAACATCTACAAAAATACCTTAATCTCTGACAAAACAGTTGTTAGAATATATAAATATAATTAAATCACTTCTAAACACTTCCTATATTTATATTAAAGGACCTTGAAATGTTTAGATAAAAGAGATTGATAACTATGATCAATCAAGGCTGTATCTAATACTGGTTGTCAAAACACCGCCCTGGGCGATGTTACTACAGCGCCCAGTTTTTACAAGGAGAGGGGGCATTAACATGGTTACTTTGAGACTGTATTTCGAAGACTGTTGACGCCCGTCTCTGTCTAGAGCCTTGGACTTGGTTGTTATCTTGATGTTATTGTTGCCTAAGCAATGCAATGTATATTAGTTAAAAATAGTCACACCAAAAAGGTCGTGTTTTATTTTATTATGCAACATTGTTTTATCTGTTACGGCCTTGAGGAAGGACGTATGGTACACTCATGCACACAAGTCATACTTTGGAATAAACTTTTGTTTAATAAATTAAAATAAAAAAAACTGCGATAGAAAAATTAATATGAAAGTATCGATTACTAGCTTTTGCCCGCGACCTCGTCCGCGTGAAATTAAAAAACAAGAGTGAGTATCCTATCTATTATTCCAGACTATCCTCAACATCTCTACCAAATTCCATCGAAATTCGTTAAGTTGTTTAGGCTACAAACTCTATGTCTTATTGTATTATGATTGTCTTATTGTCTATAAAAATCTTTGTATTAAAATAAAATATCACTATACTATTACTAACATGACTTTCAAAGTATTTGATTCATTACATGGTATATCAGAATAAAGATTCATAGGCGTAAAAGTTTCTATCAAAACAAAATCCAATATATTAACGATGAAACCGAACCTCGTAAGTAATCGCTTGGCCTATCGCCAGACGAAAGTTTTTTTGTTCGATCTAACCAAGGATTTTTGCGGTATACCTTGTCATGCGTCAAGCCAATTTATTTATAAAATTTAAAAGAAAATAGAACTAGCTTTTACAGACCAGTTGCTAATTTTACATGTGTAAAAAAACGAAATTCATCTAATAAAAAAAAATAGTTTAACGGTAATATATAATGACGGAAGCAAATAACAAAGAAGCACTTCTGAAATTGAATTTGAAATATATTTGGAGTATAATATTTTAATTGCTTTCTCTGCTTTTGTAAACTCAGAACGATCACAATAACCGAGGTTACGATACAAGGGCGGATCCAGCTTTGGCCTCGGGACGGAAGGGGGTCACATAGTCATGGTTAAGTCAAGAGCTTGGCAAAATATATAAATATATTTCGTCAAGAGGGTCGTGACCCCATGACCCTTTGGATCCGCCGTTGTTACGATATCGCAGAAGCACCTTAAGAAAAGGTGTAAAAAAAATTGTCGCACTTTTCTAATCAACTGTACTTTAGTGATGATCCAAAAACTACTAATCGATTAGGAAACAAAATCTTACTAATATCATAAATGGGAAATTCTAGATGGATGGATGTTTGTTAGAGTTTATAGCCTAAACTTTTGAACGGATTTCGATGTAATTTGGCATTCATGTAGAGGATAGTCTGGAAGAACACATCGGCTATTCATTTTTGTTTTTTTAATCCCACGCAGACGGAGTGGCGAAAGCTAGTAAATGAATATTTGATTACATCGTAAACATTTTTAGATCTATTCACAATTTCGTTTTTCAATACGATCTATGTTCGTTTATGTAAGACCTTGTACACATGATAATCGTGGTTATATAACATGTAATTAAAACGATCAAATAGCGACCTTAGGTGTTATTTTACGTCCTTCCGTATTGAATATGTAATTATTTACATGCAAGGTATATTTATCATTACAACACTTTCAATGCTACTTATTTATATACTAGCTGTTCCCGTGCGGTGTCATCCGCATGAAATTAGGAAATTTTCATTTTATTGTTTACATTTGTCAAATTATCAATCGCAAATGTCAAAATGATATGACACAATGACAAACCGTGGCAACCTTACTTCATGATGTTGGCAGCTTGTAGCTTATGGTCCCTGTCTCACATTAGGGTTTTTATCCACAATATTTATCCCCTAATTTTAATACCGTATATATAATTATTAAAAAAATTGTTTTAATTACTGACATTTTAGGCAATAAAGAAGTGTGTGTTTACGCTTTATTATAATATAGTATATAGTATAGTGTAGACGGATTATTCCCAACCGTCACACTGCTCTGTCCCCCCATGGCGACAGATGAGAATAAAAAGTTTCATCCGTCCCAACTTTGGGATGAGGGGACTTATTTTATTTCTTAACGGTCCAATCTGTCACCTTATTGGTGATAGTGGGACTAAAAGGTGGGACGGATGAAACTTTTTATCTCATCTATCGCCACGTGGGGACAGAGCGGACTAACGGTTAGGTATATTCCTTTCTATTAAAGTGAACATGTTAGGCAAGTCAGCATTAAATGTGTTAAAAGGTTTTATTAAATTTTGTACGTACTCTATTCTACTATACTAACATTAAAGAGGAAAGATTTGTATTTATGTGTGTGAAATAACTCAAACATTACTGAGTCGATTTAAAAATTCTTTCACTATTAGAAAGCTATGTTAACAGTGAATAGGCTATGTATTTTATTACTTTAAAAATTCACGCGAGTGACGTCGCGTTCAACAACTAGTATAATATAATAATGTCATCTTACTATTTTCTATAAATTGGAATTTGACCAGGAGATACTCAATAAAGTTCAGGATAAAAGGCAGAAGGAAATAGTCCCTTTTCATTTTATCCCCTCGTCTGTTCTCTTCTTCTTCTTGATGTTTTTGTGTACCAATTACCTAACAGAGTAGAGGAAAAATAACTTTCTGAAGGTAGATCGTATAAATATTGTCTCCAATCAATTTAAACGTATGCTATATTTGAAACACCCAGTGTGAGAAGGTCATATCAATTCGCAATGATCGCACTTCCTCTTGTATTGTGCAATTGTCACCGTCTTATACAGAGCGTTTGAGTTGGCAAGTCGCGAATAAGAGTTCTCTTCTTCCCGACGTGCCAACTGAAATGCAACTTTTGTAGCTTGCAAATTATTGTATGCGGGAAATCAAACTATTAACGAAAATACCTTTTGGAATTGCATGTTTTTATTACATACGTCAATGTCTACTGCACGCATTAGATTCAGATTTTTTTAAATTATTTTATCATATCGTATGTTTCTAGCTTTAATTTTAATGATAGCAACTGGAGACAGGAACGTGCCAAAACGTAAAGTCTATTCTAGTATTTGACTATTCGGCAAGGTGATATTAAGCAACCTTTTTAGTTGAAGAATTTTATTTAAGAACATTTAACTTCATACTATACATTTATAAAGATATCATACATGGATTGAAGCAAGCCATCAATTTATTTAAAAAAAATAAAAATATCGATGTATTGTAGGCATCACTAGAGGTGCGTCAAGTGGGTCGGCGCGCGGTCAACCAGCTGGCAGGCCGAGGGATGGGCGACGACGTGATCATCGTCCATTACAACGATGTCTACAATATCGAGCAGACCACTAGTAAGTTCTATCGATAGTCGATACTTTAGACAGATTTAGAAAAATAAAGTTATCTTTTTATTACCTTTATGTATGTATGTAAAGTGAACATCTAGAAGCTATGTTTGTTTCAAAAACGAATATAGAAAAGTAGTGTATTTTCGACCTTGCAAACGTCTAGACTTCCGATTAGACCAAGGTGTAATGCTAAGATATTTCTTCTTACGTTTAACCACTTATTTATTCATGTCAAGGTTAAGTCTGGTACGAATTCAAAAAATATTCTATTTTTTTTTGTAGGCGACAAATAATGTAAATTGATTTGTTTTTAAAATAAAAAGTCGTATACAACGCGTACTGCTTCCGTATTTTAGCTGCTTTTTTTCAAACCGATTTAACTGCATTTATTCTGAGTAAAATAAGTTATGTTTAATTTTCTTTACACTATATTTGATCGTGTCTTACCTTTCAGACACAGAACCTATGGGCGGGGCGCTAAGATTTAGCACCGCTGTGAAAGCTTTGCAGCATCTTAACCCTCTTATATTGTTTAGTGGTGATGTTTTCTCGCCTAGTATGTGTGAGTATAAATATAATATTTTTTAAGATAGGTTTCCACTGAAGCTCACAAAAATCTTAATATTTTTACTGAATTAAAAAAAATTAACGGTCTGTTTTGTATCTTTTTTATTTACAGTAAGTACATTTACAAAAGGTGAGCAGATGGTACCAGTACTCAATGAAATAGGAACTCATTGCGCGGTGTTTGGAAATCATGATTTTGGTAAGATATTCAATGAAATGAGGGTTTACAGTGTCGAAACATGTATAAAAACAAGTGTTCATGGACGTGGATGAGCTCTTCAATGCTCCCATTAGCCCCTTCCTCTTATTTTTAAAAATATCCTTCCATTATTCAAATAAAATTATAACAAGTAATTCTTAATCCAGTGGAATTGTACGGTTAGTTACGCTTGCGCTCGTGATTTTTTTTTCGTATTTCCGCACTATATCTGGGCCTGCCTTTAGTCTACTCCTGGACAGACAGTTCCTACAAAATTTTTCATTTCTGTCCATAGATTTCGGTCTAGAAGTCCTCTCAGGTCTAGTCGCTCAATGCAGCTTCCCCTGGCTGATGTCTAACGTGATCGACAACGAGACGGGCCGTCCTCTCGGCGACGGCAAGATAACACACGCTCTGATGTGCAATGGACACAAAATCGGCCTTATAGGACTTGTTGAACAGGTATAGGAGGTATAGTCGATTCACCTCCTTTGGTGTTGGTAGCGCGCTATACTAAAATTGATTTTTCATACACTTTTAATATTTTTTCTGCCATATAGTCTATGTTATTTAAGGATAATATGTAATTTTAATGTTGAAAATAATTTTAAAATCGATGTAATTGAATTTTGGAGCTTCTTTACAAACATTTTTTTCCTCTATGAAACAAAAAAGTGTAGAGTACTTCTTGCCTACCCCCTTGCAATCTCCCTTTTTTAAATTCCGTTTAAAGACAGTTTTTGTTTGATTTTGAACTCTGATACAACGTTTTTATTGTAATTAATGCATATTATTTCAGGAATGGCTTGACACATTAGCGACAATCAACCCAGAAGAAGTGACATTTATAGATTTTTTACAAGCAGGAACGAAACTGGCATCACAATTGAAACGAGAGGTACAGTTTCACTCGTTAGACGAAATATAAATAGCTTTAAACATAGCCTTATACTCAAGCTTCCTAATACTTAAATTATTATTTAAATCCGATCATTAGTTTTTGAGATAAACATGAACAAACTTTATAATTTTTTCTGTACATTTTGAAATAAAGCTTTATGTCAATCAGAATAAGATCCAATTTTCAATATTCCAGGGTTGTGAATACGTGATAGCACTGACACACATGCGCACCCCCAATGACGTCAAATTAGCCGAGGGTTGTACTGAAATTGACCTCATACTTGGGGGTCATGATCACGTCTATGAGGTGTTAGAGGTCAGTTTTAAATAAAATACTGATATATTTTGAGTTTTTTATTGTCTTATATTATCTCTTTTTTTATAGATTAACAACAAATACATCGTCAAAAGTGGTACAGATTTTAGACAATTCTCTAAGATCAACCTTAGTTTTGGTCCTGAAGGACCACGGGTGGAGATAGACGCGGTGGATGTGACCAGCGATTACGCGGAGGACCAGGCCCTTAAAGCCAAGGTTGAGAAATACTCAGGTAAGTTTCTACCTAGGTCTTATTTTTCTGGGGAATAGTTGTTAAAACCACACCTTTCAGTGGACATAAGATATTTTAGTTCAATTTCTAGAATATTCTGTTTACTTTTTGGTCCTTCGGGTTGGATCATTCAATTTCTATAAACCAAAATATTCATGTACAAATGATGTCCAACACTAATATACCTTTTTTGTGTAAATAAAAATACTAGTACTCGTCCGCGTTTTCGTCCATATAAAATAAAAAAAGGAAATCGCCTATAAGTTCTTCCAGACTATACTATACATCTATGACGAATTTCATTGAGATCCGTTCAACAGTTTAGGTTACAAACGCTTAAAACATCCTAAACTTTCGCTTTTATAATAAGTAAGATAGATTAGTAACTCCTAATGTATTCCAGCTATGATAGAAGGTAAGATGGAGGAGGTATTGGGCAAGTTCTGCGTACCTCTGGAGGGGAGGTTCTCCTGCGTGCGGCGGCAGGAGAGCAATCTGGGCAACTGGGTGTGTGATGTGCTGCTGGCCGCGACCGGAGCTGACCTGGTACTCCTTAACTCTGGCACCTTCAGATCTGATCAGGTGAGGATGGAATAGTCCATAAAAACTTACAGCTATTCTTCATTTGGTCCATTTAATATTTGGAACTGACTTTTTTAAAAGGAGGTTGACCATTTATGGATTTTTTACTAACAAACTATCAATTTCCTGTTTATTAAATATCTAAGTGTAAACACTATTAATAGGTATTATGTCAAAATTAAAAAAAAAACTTAATGAATATAATCTACCATGTCCTGTAAAATCACCTAATTTGTTGAACTTCATTAACAATTCTCACACGACCAAATAGAGATTTAAGGTTTATAATTGAATGTACAAGAAACCCCTACAATTCGAGTCACATTTTATTATCGTTCAGTAGGAAACCAAAGTATGGACTTTTCGTCTTGAAAAGATTGTTCAATCTTTTAGGATTTACCATCACATTTGATGATTGAACTAAATTTCAAGTGCAACTGTTGAAAAATATATGAAAACTTCTTCCTAGGTCCATCCAGCGGGTGATTTTACTCTGCGCGATTTATCCACAATAATACCTATGAGAGATCCTTTGGTTGTGGTCGAGGCGAGTGGAGAAACCATACTGAAGATTCTAGAAAACTCCGTCTGCAAATATCCAAGCTTAGAAGGAAGGTTTCCACAGGTATTTAGCTTATACAGTCCTTTGAAATAAACTAACTAAACATCTTATCAATCAAATTAGTATGCTTAATTTAAAAAAAAAATTTTTAGTTTCCCCGTATCTTACGAACATAATATTTAGTTACTATGAAAATTTGTTGGCATTATTTTAGTTATAAAAATTGAACATCCTTCATACATCAGTTGGCACGTCGTTTCAAACAGTAAACATACTTCTGACGTGCCAAATCAACAGGTGGCAGGTATATCTTTCGCATTCGACCCTTCCAAGCCTCCAGGTCAGCGTGTAGAAGAGCAGGTAGTGAAGATAGGTGATGAATACCTGCTTCGTCAGCAGAAGTACCGGCTGGCGGTGAAGCAATACCTTCATGCGGGGAATGATGGGTTCACCATGCTACCTAGCTGCCCCGTACTGGTAAGTAGGTGAAGTGAGGAAATAAGGAAGTGGTGAAATGAAGTGAGAAAATTGGTGCAGTTTTAACAAGTTTTCGTTTTGTTCCCTTAATCATATTTCTTGTGGTATTTTGAAGTATAAAACAATATAAGGAGGTGAAGAAACTTGGGTTTCAACAAATAAGGGGGTAATACTTGAAAAAATAATGTAATTTTTTTTTATTAAATGTAGATAGTTTAATAAAATTTTATATTTGTAAAAATTCATTACTTTTTGTAAACGTAAATACAACAAGCTAACGGTTAAAATTGTTACTATATTTTCTGCGTACTCGGTAAAGTAAAAATGTTTCCTAAACAAGCCGATTTGACTCTCAATAATTTAATTATTGCAATAGTCATATTTGGCTCTACAAGTATGCCGACAGGTCTAAGTCATTAAAAAAAAACAAAAAGAATATTTATAAAAAAATACAAGATTATACCCCTATACCAGGTGTCAGAAGACATGTGTCCAGAGGTGGGCATGGCCGTTCAGAACCACTTTGCGGCTATCAACGTCCGCACTGGCAAGGCTCGACCTTCCAAACATCGCCAGTCTCTCGTCACACTCAGCAGACGGTAAGAATGGCACTTTTCTATCACTTATTAGCTGTTGCACGCGACTTCGCCCGCGTCAAATTAAAAAATAATAAAAAATGTAGCCGATGTTACTCACAGATAAATTACCTTTCTAACGGTGAAAGAATGTTTAAAATTGGCCCCGTAAAAACTTTAAAATCTAGGAGCGTTCATACTTTTAAAAATAATAATTATTAAGGCCAATTACAGTATCCCTGCCTACCATTTCACAGGCATAGTTTGGTGAAAATGTTAGACGGGAGTGAGCTAGATGGCCCTCCCCCACTGCGGAGAGCCTCCTCAGCCGCAGTAGAACCTTCAACACATCATCACAGGTAAAAGAGCTAACCAAATATGTTAAAACAGCTTGTTCACCTTTTTCAACAAATTAGGAACTGAGTATGACCAAAAAAACACAAAAGTAGCCTATTTGTGCTAGACATCTATGCAAAAATTCTGAATAGCTGATAGCCCCAAACTCTAACATCCATCCATCTGAACTTTCGCATTTATAATAATAGTAAGAAGTACTATGCATATCTCATGTATAGATAAAAACGCCGTTTTAACTTTATCTAGTCAAACGGTCTTTTATTCCTTCCTAACTTGTAACGCAGAAAATTAAAAACCCATGTTTTAACGTTTCTAGCTCAATAAAACTAGAAATAATTAAAACTTTTGTATATTGTGGTCCTTCGAGTCGGATGTATGTGCAGGTTGACGCGGCGCGCCTCGCTCGACGACTTGGAGCAGAACGCTTGCGAACTCGCGCCCAAAATTGACAACAGAATTATTGTTCTTGATAAACCTGAGGTAAGATATTGAATTTGATTGTTTACCAAATAATTGCGACTTTTTTTTTATAATATAAGGTGTTAAAAGAGACCGCTGCCCAAAGACATCCGCAATTGCAGATGCGCTGCCTACCCTTAATTGACGGAGGATACGCACATAAAGAGGACATTTCCCCTTGCTATGCGTCTCCACCGTGAAATCCACGTTTCCTTCCCATCCCTTCCTCTTTAAGAACTGGATGGACAGGAAAAGGGACTAAAATTAGGCCTCCGGTTTCACACTCATCAGACTGTACGCGGAATTGCTTCCATTTCACACCTGTCTTCTGGTATTACACAGGGCGAGCCCTACAATGCGAAGATGTTAAAGCGGGCTCTACCATTGTTAACATTTTAAATTTTTTTGTGTTTGAAAGTAGACTATAGAATATTTTTATATTTAAGAAGTTTAATATCTTGATACAATCTAAACTTGTTCTATATGAGTAAAATAATAAAACCACTGTTTTTTTAGTTATTAATAAATCAAATAAGTGCATAAATTGATGTTTCTTTAAAGCAGACAATGAAACTCGATGTTTCGTTGAGCACGCTCGATGTCTTTTGAGCAACAGTGGTAGTGCCCGTTTTAACATGTTAGCACTGCAGGGCCGGCTCGCCCCCAGTAATACCACGACCACACAGAAGACAGACGTGAAGTGGAAGCAACTCCGCGTACAATCTGATGAGTGTGGTGCCGGAGGCCTCATTTTAGTCCCTTTCCCTTTACACACTTTTCTTAAGAGGAAAGGATGGGAAGGAAAAGTGGATTTGACGGTGGAGACGCATAGGAAGGGGAAACGTCCTCTTTATGTGCGTCTCCTTCGTCAATTAAGGGTAGGCAACGCATGTGCAATTGCGTATGTCGAAGGGCAGCGGCCGCTTTCCATTTCGGTGGATTCAAGTCGCTTGCTCGTTTCCCACCTTATATTATAAAAAAAGCAAGGCTCGATGTTTCGTTGAGGCAAATAATTATTATTACGTAATTTATGATTGTTTATCTTATTTTTCCAGAAACTTCAAGCACTTTTAGCTGAGCGAGCTCGCTGGGAGTCTGATGCGGTTATAAAGGAGGTCGATGATGAAAACTCGCCTTAAATAACTCCCATATTAAAATTTCGACCTAATCTCTTAAGCAATAAAGTTTATATTTGCATTATGTAAGTTCATTTTGAACGAATACTCAAAGTCTAGATATTTTTTTTTTAATTAATTTGAAAAAAGAATCACTTTTGTTTTCTTTAGTGTATTTTGAACAAATGTTTTTACTAAACAGGTTTTATATGTTATTTTGTTTTTAAAACAAAATGTTTTATTATTATACTGATATAAGAAAGCAATATCTCAATGTTTGTGATCATAATTTATTACATGTTATTTCATTGTTACCATTAATTTATTTTAAGGTTTGTTGATAATCGAAATATTCCATTATAACGATGAAATATCGATTTTATGTTAATCGAGTTTTTATTATTTGATGTGAAAGTGAAAATCAAATATTGTTGATTATTATGCTCTTTTAAAAAGGAAATTTTTACATTTAAATTAGTTATATTAGTACGAGCAAAAAAGATTTCTATTATTTTTTGTCATTTATTTACTACGTAAACTATTTTGTACACTACTCTGACGTCACGAGTCAAATATTTAATATTCAACGTAATATAAACGCTATGCTTTTAGTAATAAAATCTAAAATCGCTTACCGGCTCATCTACCTCATAAACAGTATTGCTTAGCGTAGAGAATGTAGTATTTAAACGGCTTTAAAATATCGTCTTCCTTGTTAGAGCGAGACAGGTTTCAAGTCTTTATTCATGCCATCTCTTTCGCACTTCCTCAAAATTTATTAAAAATCCGGTTGTAATTAAAAACTAGAGTTCCGTCCGAAAATATCTCTTTTAATAATAATAAAAGTCATATCAATTTAACTGCCGTATTGTGAATTTTTACGTGACAGAGAAATAAAGACTTGATACCGTCGTATAGTGCATCTCGCTCGCACTTGCAGTTCTTATGATGTGTGTGAGTAGGATAGATATAGTTGCACGCTGTGCACATTAATTGCTAGTAGTCTTGATATGTATGGCCGTATATGCCGTACATGACTGTTTCTTTCTCTTTCACACCTATATTGTTTGTCTCGTTCACTCATTACGTAATAAATGGAGAGCTAACAGGCCCTAAACATTTTCGATAATGCGCCTTATTTTTTATGCAATAAAATTGCTTTTGGTGTATATTTTAAAATTCCCAAGTGATATTTTCGTGTTTTTTTTTAATTGTTGAACTTTCGTAAGTCGTTCATACGGCCAGTATAAACCATTTTTTGACCGACTTCCCAAAAGAAGGAGGTACTCAATTCGTCTGTATGTTTTTTTTTATTGTTTTTAATGTTCATGTAATTTATTTTTTTATTGTTTTTATCGTGATATCTGTTTTAGTATATTTGTTAGCGCTAAATAAAAGACATAAAAGCAATAATTAATTTGTAGTGTGATTACGGCCTAATAAGTTATAATATCATCATCATCCACTTGCCCTTATCCCTTATGGAGGGTCGGCACAGTATGTGCTGCTCTTCCATACATCTCTATCAGCCGTCATATCTGAATCCACTCCTTTCTTAAGCATATCTTCCTTCACACAATCCATCCATACTTTCTTCGGTCTTCCTCTTCCTTTGTAGCCATCCACATTCAATCTCAACATTTTCTGGTTTATGTCCCCATCATTTCGTCGCATAATATGTCCATACCACGCTAACCTTAACCTTAATAAGTTATAATATGTAGCAAATATTAAAGTGCTCTTCCACTAATTTAACTAAATGTACTATTTTTATTGACTTATTCTGTATTGTATATTTTCGAACAAGAACACTGGCCGTCCAGAAATCTTGAGTTTCAATCTTAAATATTTAGTGGAAGTCCAACTTAACATAAAAAGCAAGATGCATTAACTTCGAGACATCTTTGAAATAATTATGAATAAAAATCTTTTTGCATTATAGATTTCCAGATTTGCAGCCTTTTAAAGCTAATATTTAGACTAAGTGCGAAGTTTTAACTGGACAGTTCGATTGTTCAGTTAGAACTGATGTGTAGCGCAGTTTAGATTAAATCCTTTACTAATCGGTTGTATCATAAAGTTTGTGATATGAATAAATAAATTTGCTGATGTTACGTAATTTTTTTTAATATCCAATTTTTATCTTTAATTTCACCCTATTTTCTTCTAGTATATACTTTCCTGTAATTAAAATAACCAAATTCAATAGGAATGAGAAATAACAATTCCAATTAATTACCTTCATAAAGCTGTAATCAAGACTAGGATGAAAAATATTTGTAACTAGTTTTCGCCCGCGTGGTATTAAAAAAATAAAACAAAGTATCCTTTGTGTTCTTCCAGACAATCCTCTACATCTATGCCAAATTTCATTGAGATCCGTTCAGCCATTTAGGCTACAACCTCTAACAAACATCCATCCATCTAAACATTCACATTTATACCACAGTAGAACATCGATAACTTAACCTCTCTAATTTAAAAAAATAATATGTTCCCTTCCAATCAGAGCCCAAAACCTTTACAACATAGATAACTTAAAATCTCTATTTTGTGTTTCCCTTGGACTTTAACTTATCGAGGTTCTACTGTAGTATGATTTGAACCTTCTAGAATCCAAAGACAATAAATGAGAAATTACTTCCATAGAGTTTAAGCATTTACTATTATCCTAAAAGACGTTGAAGGATAAAGGGTAATTAAAACTACAAAAATGAGATTAAAATTACTTCACATATTTATCGAAAAAACTGCCGTCCGAAGGTTGTTTTCATTCCGTAATCATTGACACAATGTCACATTTAAAATCATAATTCATGACACTATACAAAGCAAAGTGATACCACATGTGATATCCTTACACTAGAAATCCACTACTATGAAATTTGTGTTAATATTTTCGTCTTTTTTATTCAATTTGACAGAAAAAACAAAACAAAACCATTAATACAAGAATCATTGCAATTGAAACCCACTTATTAATACTGGATATACAAAAAATGCAGATCAAGTCGCCATTTTACCATCTACCCGCAATTTTAGTACAGCCAATAATTAACTAGACCGATTAGAAAATAAATTGTTCTAAATTATACACAGGGCCTTAAAACGAAAGAAAATCGATTTCAAACACGATTGCTAAATCGATTCCGCAGTAATATTCACTACTCGATGCAATTCCGATTTTATATTTGATTCAGACAGCACGAAAATTTGCGGAAAAGCATTCGCATTATTATCGACAAACTTTCAGACAAATCGCATACAAATGTTTATGTCGTTGCTATCTCGCAAATTTCGTTCTATATTAGGTTAGCTTACTTAACCAATTTTTAAACTAAAAATACATTGAATCCAATAATCATTTGACTTCACAATTGTCTTATTTACACATTTCATACCGATAATATAGACCAAAAAAGATATCAGACCCGGCGGGTACTACTAAATTAGCTCACTGGCTTCTATGCCATTTGTCTTTGTAGTTATTACATATTTTCTGACAGAACCAACAGCAGCGCCACTCACCGGGCTAGCATCCTTATTTGACTACGTTTAAAATGAACACTTTGTAATGTCAATTTGTAGAATATTGTATGGATGTAGACCAGGCCAGGGCAGAAGCCAAAGAGAGTAATTAAGGAATTTCTGGTTTGATCTTAATCTGAATTTGCACTTCCGCGTGTAGAGAGGGTGGTAGTACAATTCACTTGTTGTCTTTTGTTGCCAGATTGACAAGTGGTTTGCCTGGTTTATATAATACCAGTACAGCAAACCATCAAAAAGCACTGGCACACAATTGGCTTGTGACAACAGTCCCTGCAAGGCCTCCAACAAACTAGGCATCTGTTCACTGCCGGTCGTCGCGTCTACTTTAATCAAATATTGACAGATTATCAAATAATTAAACTGACATTACAAAGTGTGTCAATATGTGAAAATTAAGTAGACATGACACTTACATACTACAGCCACAGCGGACCTTGTGAAACACATGCGTACATTTTACGCAAAAAATTTATGACTACCCGAATTTCGATTTCATAGCGATTATTTGAACGAGACGACTTTGAATACATGATACAGCTTATCTCAATATGTGATGTATTAAAAAAACATATTAGTGCTGTTTAACAAGCATATATCTGCAATTTTAAACCGATTGTAAAAGACTGAACAGAGAAAACCAACTTATTTCTTGAAATACAAATCCTGCCATCAGACAGTCACGCTAGTGGAAACAAGGTTTTATTTATTTGTTTCTCTTGTTTTTTTAAATAGCTAAGTGACCCTTTCAAATTTGTTTAAATAGATATTCTAATCCTTTCCTCTGGTAACTAAAATCTGGTATCAAAATTTGAAAGTTATGATTGGTTTATACGATCCAACCATTTGAATTCTTAAATGCTTTTCTATCTACCCACATTAATCTCAAAGTGTTTTTGTTTGTAATTATATTGTAAAACAGCACTAACATTACAAATTAAAATATTAGAAGTAATGTTATACTGAAAAAGTGTATTCTCATATCTCATTTCAAGATTCATACCTACAATGAATACATTTTTATTTCATTATAGTTTCGAGTATAATGATTTACATATTAATTAATCACTAATAATGCAGTGCTTATATAAAAGTCTACTACATATTTACTTAGAATAGTCAATTAGGCTGCAGAAACTTCCATACTAAGATACCGAAATTGAATTTAGTTGTGCTAGTGCTTTTTTATCCCCTTATATAACTTAATAGCAATGCTTTTTGACTATTGCTATTTAATCTTCACAGGAGTTGAATATTTCAATGTATGGAAGTTTCAACTCAATATAGAATAATTGAAGTTAAATGGCAAGTGAACATAAACAGGATTAGGGTTGCCAATCCTTTAATATTTTGACCGTACAAAATATACTCGCTACAAAACTAAAGTCTCAATACATATAATAATCGTAAAATACCTTACAAACCCAATGTTGTACACGCAATTATTTACAAAATGCCCTGTTAATGTCGACAAAGTACATTTATTGCTTAGCTTATCACATTTTAACTTTAAACATATCGTTTTACTAATTCTGGCAACCCTAACAAATTAATGATTCTTTTTGTGTATAGAAAAAATATCCGTCTGCCAAAGAGTGAGGTAGAAAAGTTTCTCGAGAAATATTTCAGCAGAACCAGTGCCGTTAGGATGGGGCGTGGTTGGGCGACTGTCTTGGGCGCTGAACTGATAGGGGCTTTGAAGCATGATAAAAAGGCTGGCTAAGCCTCCCTCAAACACTAGTAGCGCAAAATCTGATACTGATCAGAACATGGACAAATTCAAATCATAATGCACAATTTTCAAAATACCTACAAATGTACTGAGATAAATAAACTCATTATAAAAATAATTCTTTTACTGAAACCACATTTAGAGCAATGCTGTGTCATATGCAACAGATGTACACAAGAAAAACAAGGAAACTGTTGGTATTGTTTCTTAATAGAAACATGATGGGTATGTTTGCCTTAAACAATATTTTGTTATAATTGACATTGCTTATGTATTTATTACATTCTTTACCAGAACAACACAATAGCTTTCCTTGTATGAATAATTCTTAAGTCTGAATTTCTACAACTTCAAGTTTTTAAGCTGCGAGTAAACAACTTAACTGCTCAAAGTAATACTAAGAGAACAAAGAGGTCACAACCTATTACATACCTTTACAAGTACCAATTGATATGCAAGCCTACATTACTTTGCAATTCTACATTACTTTGATCTTCAGTAAATTTCTAGTTGAGTTACCAGTGTTTAGTTCACTACAAACAACTCAGGAATCACTAAAAAAGTAATGCCTTGGCTACACCCACTAGATCTTATGATGTAAAAAAAATATTTATTTACCCAATGATTCCATAACTAATTAATTATAAGTTTGAAGACACTTTAAATATAACAAAAACATGAATTTTGCTATTTTATTATTATGTTTTAAGTTATTATTTCAACAATTATTAACTACAAATTATCTATTTTTAATAGTAATAACTGCAATCTTATTATGCTACAATATTAATATATTTTTTGTATTCCAGATAGCTATAAAATACCATACATTAAAAATATCATGTATAGTGAAAGTTGCCAAGTTTTTAAAACAAATCTGCACTTTTTATAAACATAAATCTGCCGACTTTTGAAATAACGCCAGCTTGTTTGAAAAAACAAGAAATCATAACATATGGCAATGATTGGCAGTGAATTTTAAGACACTGTGTTGGAAATCTAATTGTATTGTATATTATATTCAGAGCAAGCCCTTTGATTCATTTGGGGTGGGCAGTGTAATTACAAAACACACAATTTCAGTTAAGATAGTAAATATGTTAATTCAAGTTGTAATCCAGCATTTAAAGTAATTAAAACTGAAACTTTGACACAACACTAGGTTTCAGTTGTTTTTTTTTTAAATATATTGTATTTTGAAGTATACAGAAGTGAAGTTTTGACCAACTTAAATTTACAGTTGCAGTAAAAAGTAGTTTTCTAAATAATCTGTTGAAAAAATAACTTAAAATGTTTGTAGTTTTGGTAAAATGGAGTAGGTATTGTTTCTATGGGATGCATGATCAACATCAACCATGCAATAACGGAGGAATAGCTTATGCATTGAAATATATTATTTTCTAACTTGTTGAGTTTATCTAGACTTAAGGTGTATGCTTTTTTCTATTATTTTGATATTGTCTGGAAATAGATTTGTCTGATGGTGTTACCAGAAACAAATCAGTATTGAAATTTATAAGAAATGGTAAAATGAACAACATGTTGGTTAAATAAAGAAAACTACATTGTTATTTTGGTTATAAACACATAATCTATATAATGATTGGCAGACAGGATTTTCTAAAAGAATTAGAAATTATAAAATACATCAAGAATCACTTATTTTAAAAATTTCTTGGGCCATTAATGATAAATGAGTATTGACACTAGCATAGTCAAATTCAGCACTTTCTTCTTAACTCTAGGTGTACTTGCAATTACTACCTTAAATATTAAAATACAACTGTCACTGAACAAATCTAACCGTAGGAGGAACTCTGACCGGTTTATAGAAAATTCTCAATTGTCATGGCCTTAAAAAATACAGACAGTTTCTATTTACGAATAATTGTAGATTTGTACAATGACAGCGCCACAGCTGCCTCTGAAAGACCAACCCTTCCGGAGAGTTTTATAAGTCAAATACAAATGGGGGTTATTTACATAAAAAAGTTGGTTTAAAGCAATGTCCATTTCAAATTACACTAATAAGCGTCGTACAAATATCTCAATAAAACATACGAGAAGGGTTGGTCGTCAATTGCCAGAGTGCAACAACCATATTAATACATGATTATGTAGAACGATTACCAATGCGTTCACATTGTCAATGTCCCCCGTTAAACAAAAAAAAACTGTGATGCTTTCCTTGTAAATAAATAAGTCTGCTTAAACACTACAATGTTCGAACGGAAGATAGTTCACAACCGGTTTTGACGGTTTCTAAGAGCCCTTAGGCGCGCACGGCGCGTCTTTGCGGATTAAATGTCGCCATTTTGACTAATACCGATCCTCTTGATGAACTCTTCTTGCAACATCACCGTCTTAATCATACTGGGGTGAGCCCCATACGCCATTGACTTATCTGGCGTTGTGCAGTACTGTTGATTACCATCAGTGAGAATTACTTGTCCATTAGTCAAGCCTCCCGTTGCATCAATTGTGTTCCAGTATGCCTCACCCGGAGAGGTCGTATTCACTCCCGGAGGAGGGGCAGCCGGTGCCCCCGTGTACCTGAAGTATGGGTTTTTCAAATCTAATGTATTAGAAGATGAAATATTTGTTCCTTCTAGATTAATCTCCATGGTAACATCGTAACTCTGCCTCTTGTTTGCTAACAAAAGCACTCTGCCGGACAACACCTGGCCTTGTTTGGCAAATATTGGTGTCTCCAGTAAACATCTGACTTGGTACCAATGTGTTAAAGGTTCCGTAGGCGCTGTGGATAACCAGATATGTTGTGTGTTGCCTGCAAATAGCACATCGAACCAGAACGCAAGCCCATGACAAGTCCCAGACTGTGTCAGCTGAAATCTAAATGGCACTTCGATACGATGGAGATCAGTTTCATTGGCATTGAGGAAATCAACAACATGCCGCACCGACCTAGACATACAAATGCGGACATCAAATGTATCAACTATTGGCTGTCTAAAATATTCTTTCATGGCAGCTGTACGCAATGCACTTAAATCTACACCATGGAAACATGTTTGATACCAAAAGTTTGCCTTATTGTACTGTTCCATAAAGAGTGCATCATCAGTGAATGGAGCGATGTGTAGATCACCACGGGTTGGGTACATATTACCATTACGTTTAAGCCATTTTTTCGCATGTAAATATGTCTCCAACATCCGCTCGTTGTACAACATGTAGCCCATTGGTTCTGATATTATTACATCTACACTTTCAGGTAGTTCTATCTCTTCAATTTTCCCCGCGACTACGGTTATACGATCATGAAGTCCATTCGCGCGCACTAATGCTTGAGCATGATGCGCCATGTTACTGGCTTCAACCGCGTACACTTTCCGTGCACCAGCTTGTGCAGCGAAGAATGACAATATACCAGAACCCGCGCCAACGTCCAACACAACCTTATTTTTGAAATCGTTAAGGTTCGATAAAATAGCACGCTGGTACGTACTTGTCCTAACATAGTCCTGCATCATATTCTGCTGCTGGCTTAGGTACCCGTAGAATTGGAAGTACTGCATCGCCGACGAGTCCTCTGTGCGCACCGTAAACACACTCGACGACCGACCCGCCTTAATTTTCGTGACCAGCAGATGGAAATTCTGACAGTCAGCGTCCGATGCGAATTTAAAAAACAAGGTTTCATTGTCAATCGTGAAGATGTACGACTGGGCCGCTACCCTTGAACACTCACTCAGATTGTGGACGGGAAATTCCAACAACTCTTGTGCTAAAACAGGGTCGGCACGTATCACTTTTACACTTAGCCCTTGAGGATCGTAATCCACGTTTACGTTTGTAGGGAAATTGAACCGCGGCGTTAGAGCCCCGTCATTGTTGACGGCGGACACCGTCACTCCGCGAAACGTGTTCGCCATTTTAGTAATGCGGCACTGACTCGATACTTTTGTTTCAAAATTGTCCACGCGCGTAATGGCAAACAAAGAGAAATGCCGTTGAGAAGTTTGGGGCCGGTGTAAAATCGATCACTCACAAACTTCCTCCCTCCTTAAATCTATGGTTGGAACGGCAGCGTGCTATTATTTTTTATTTCGTTTGTAATCTGCGAATGACGAAGCAACAGAAGTCTTGCTTTATGGTCAATTTTTAATTTTTATTACTTGACTATATTTTAATAACAATGTTTCGTTTTCGTTTCAATTAATTAAAATGTTAATCTCATAAATTAAAATTTAAAATGTTTTTAGTTCATTTTAAACAGCTTAAAAATTACGCGTAAAGCAGCACGTAATCCTTTTGTCATTTCAGCTGTCAATCAGTAACAATCAGTGTCAAAATCACGCCGGAGAAGAATAGGTTATAAAATCATATGTTTTGATATATTTATATTAAAATGTCTAAGAAACTTAAAAGTTTAAAATGGGAATCTGTCCCGATGGAGGGTGTTTCCGTTTCAATGTCGGATAAGCTTCAAGGTTTTGTTGGACTTGAAGAATGCACAGAATACGGCTTCGACAGAGATGGAAAGAAATCGAAAAAAGTAAGTAATTATTAAAATACCCACATTTTTTTATCATATCTTGTGTTTCGTTTTTTTATAAATATATTAATAATATGCATAATTTCGACCTCACTCATATTATAAATAAAACAATTCATATTCCAGAAAAAAAGCGTACAAAAACAAAAAATGACGAACAAATCCACAGTTTTACAAGAAAAGTCATTAACACCTAATAAAAAAGTGAAACTCGATAATGGTTTTACTGTAGAAATATGCGATATTGTAAAACCATCACTTACAAATGATGTATTAATAGAAAATAAGTCTATTAAAATTAAAAAAGGAAATCAGCCAGTAAGGAAAGATGTAATACAGATAACAAAATCAAAGAAACGTAAGCTCGGTGATATAACAGAAACAAATGAAAAATTAACTCCAGAAGATATGTTGTCGTGGGCTGAATTCAAATTACCAGAAGAAATCGTGAATGCTTTAGCCGAATTGGGGTTTAAAACGCCAACAAAGATACAACAATTATCATTACCAGCTGCAATTCATGGTAAGGTCAATCAATATTTTTTTTAATTAATTCTAATCTATGCTGTCTTTACTCTATGATGAAAACATTGTAAGAGTTTTACAAACAATGAATGGAAAAAAGCGCGGGAACTTCCGAATTAGGCGGGTGTTTTTTTTCGGCTCCTAAATTCTTTTATTTTAAATATTGAATAAGAGATCAGTGAAGTAGTGTAAATAACATCATTATTGTATATATTCTTTTATATTTGTATATATTTTCATAAAAGGCGACTTCTGGTAAGTTTATTGATCCCATAATATGAATGAGCCGCCTGATCCTGGGGGCACCTGCCCTCAGGATGTGGCTTGCAATGTAACTTTAAGTGAGAGCGGTATGGATACTGATGGGTCGCTGGTTGGGAACA